ATTCGCGCTGTCCAGGGTGCAACAGCGGATTCTGTTGCTACCAGGAAAAAGGATGAAAATGAAGTCCCACAAGATTGGAAGATTAAAATGCTGTATGATGGAGATTGCCCTCTCTGCATGCATGAGGTCTGTTAGGAGAGACCCATCTGGGTTGATATTTAAGCTTTTAATTATGTTAGTGATGTCTTTGTGTATTATGAGCAAGGTGGCATAAATGCTTTCGTTAATTTGTTTTCAATTTGACAGGTTAACATGCTAAGACAGAGGAATAAGGGGTATGGTACTATAAAATTTGTCAACATAAGCTCAGATGACTACTCTCCTGAGGAGAATCAAGGCCTGGATTTTAAAACTGTATGTAAATAAATGATGGTGATTTTGTTGTCATTGAGAGCTTTGGCATACTTGCATTTTCTAGATGTCAAAAAATTTAATGATTTGTCTACTTCCTGGGTCTTCTAGGCTGAAAAATGTTTAGTTCTATGCAAAGTAAAAGATAACAGCTAGAATATTCATTTAACAATTAATGAGCAAATAAAAGGACTCTTTTTGTCAAATACCTTACAAAGTTCTGTTCTTATTTCTTAGGCGATGGGGAGAATCCATGCTATTCTTTCTGATGGAACAGTAGTCACAGATGTAGAGGTACAGTAATCCTTTCCCTATCCTTATCATTTCTTATCCAAAAGTAGCAATTTTTTCAACTAATGGCTATATCAATCTTGTATATAACCTTGACTTTTTTCCTTTTATTTTCTTCCATTTAGCATCAGTTTGAAATGTGCATGCTATCTCTATTTCAACTAAGGATTATGAAAAACCAATTTTCTTCAATTGCATGCATTTCTCACACACGTATTATGTGAGAATCTAATTGAACTAAGCTAAGGGCTTGTCATGTTGTGTTAGATAGAACAGTGACCCCACTTCGCATATGTGATCAATTACTTTTCTCTCTCCCTCTCTTTCTCATTAACCCAAATGCATGATGTTGCAGGCATTTAGAAGATTATATGAACAAGTTGGTCTCGGATGGGTTTATGCCATTACTAAATATGAACCAGTATGTCTTTTTGTTCATTATGATCTATAGCTCCGTTAGTCTGTTATTCCATTATGAAGTTATAATGGTTGAGAAAATTTTGTTTTCTTTTCTCTTTTCGGAATCTATGTTTTATCACTCACTTAGTAACCTTGGTATCTGCAGATCACAACAATAGCTGATGTCATATATGGTGTTTGGGCTAAATATCGTCTTCAAATTACAGGTCTGTTACTACAGCAGGATGATCTTTGCTATCACACTCCTTCGTAGTACCTTTGTGTGTGATCTCCTTTTTAGTACTTGTATAATTACGAATTATATCTCTTAAGACAAGTCTATGATGATAGACATCTGATGACTAAGGGAGTTTTTCTTTTATTTTACCCACGTAGGATGTCAGGACCTTCAGGCTATCGGACAGATGCATGGGAACCCTTTTTCCTTGATTACAATTTCTTTCTGGCATCTTGTGTAACTTTCCTGCAGTATTGAAAAAAAATGATTTGGGGATACAAGCTGCTGCCAAACCTGATACTAACAATACCCCATATTTCTCTCCCATTAGTCTTAAGATTATTTATTTGATACTAATGGCCAATTTTGGTTTCAGGTCGACCAGATTTAGAAGAGATTCTAAAAACGCGAAGGAAGAAGGTAAGCATTCGCTAGTTTGCTATATTTGGTTTTTGTAACTTCTTAAAGTATGATTACAGAGCAGCTGATCGGGTAGCATGGAAGTAATAGATGGCCAAGTGGATTGCAATGAAACATCAAAGTAGACCTAGGTGCCTACACAAAGAGCACCGGGTTTTTCCAAGAAGACTACTTTCACACAAAAGTTAGGAAAAGAACTAACTTAAACAAGAAATAAAATTTATAAACTGAAGAAGATAACTTACCATGATAGTAAACTCGCTAAAGAACTAACTTAAACAAGAAATAAAGTTTATAAACTGAAGAAGATAGCTTACTATGATTGCTAACTCACTAAAGAACGAACTTAAACTAGAAATAAAGTTTATAAACTGAAGAAGATAGCTTAACATGATTACTAACTCACTTTTTATACAAAAGAAGTATTTTGTGTGGAACTTTTGAAGCATTTCTGAAA